TAGCACACAGCCTGGCAAGATGCCACTGCATTCTGTTAAGGTTGTGCTGATTTCATAAGGTATGCATATTTCGTGCAGGATTATATTCAGAAAGTTGAATCTTTTTACAAAACCTTCCTTGTGTAGGCTTGAACTGTGAGCTGACTTTTTTTTAATGCAAATCATCCATTTTGGGGTTCAGTTAAGGATACAGGTTTGGAAAGCTAGTTGCAGCTAAACTACATATTCTAATCAAATGAGTTTTGCTTTGGTGTCTAAATGATCTAATGAAAATGCAGCTTTTATTTGTCAGTTGATATATACTGTATGTGTTGCATAAAAGATACATACAATTTTCAACATGAGAGCAGCAGCTGTTTTAATATTCATTACATAAATCTCAAGTTACCAACTTTTTAAAACTGATGGTAGTGATGCATTTATAATAGATTCTAGATGGAAAAAGAAATACTTACATTAATGTCTCCTCTTCTCGTGTCCCCTGCTTTTACCTCATAGGTGGAACTGACAGGCAGCAGTGTGTTTGACTATGTCCATCCTGGTGACCACGTGGAGATGGCTGAGCAGCTGGGCATGAAACTTCCCCCGGGACGAGGCCTTCTCTCACAGGGAACTGCCGAGGATGGAGCCAGCTCAGCATCTTCATCTTCTCACTCTGAGACCCCTGAGCCAGGTGGGAATTACAGTCAGAATGAGTAGGTTGGTGGGCAGTACCTTAACCAAATAATTGAGCTCATGTTGCCGGTGTGAAAAGACGATGAATAGGTCTAATTGTATTTAACAATTCAGGGCAGCTTTCGGCTCCAAGCAATAATTAAATAAGGAAGAGGTTTGGAAATAAAGAGACATTTTAATAAGTACAATAGCAAAGCTCTAATTTTGGTTGAACAATGCATACAGAAAGTACCAGTCGATGTAGATTCTCTTTCAAATTATTGAAAAGACTCGGGTTTCGTATCTCATTTTCTTTTATTGTTGCAGGAATTAAAAGTAATGCATTTGTTTGTTATTCAGGAAAATCTCTGAATAAGCTGTATGAATATGAGCTTTTGAAGAATGAAAAGTCTTGGGGACTTGTAGAGTTCTTAGTTCTTATTTTTTAACATCAGAAGGTACTTGAAAGATGTGAACAGATAAATTAAGGCTAAAAAGAAAACAGTAATGGCTACATTTTGAACTGCCTTTCCACCCTCAGTATTTAATTAGATCAATTGTATAGAGGAATGAACAGAGGTGACATTCCTCATTGGAATTCCTCCCAGGCCTCTTATAGACTTTGCATTCTGAATGTTCCCATTTTCATTGTGTTGTACTGATGATAATTTAAGTATTAGGGGAAAATCCATTTATAAATTAAACAAAATGACTTGATATCCATCAGTCCCCTAGTTCATCAAGCTGTTCAAACACGAGGAAGATTGGCTGGTCGGCCTGGGTCTTCCGAGAGCTCTGGTAATTAGATCTGCGAAGGATTTATTCTTTGCTGATTGGGGCTTTAAATTAATTGAAGTTCCACATTTGTGGTTTTGTCCTTTTTGTACTTTTTTAGAGGAGATATTTCATATTCTTGTGTGGTGGAGTGCTTGGCCAAGCAGCAGTAGTTTAAATGTTAATTTTTCTCATGAGAAGTTTAAGATTTTTAATGAAGTACAAAGTCTGATTTGAAGCCTTTTATTTGCTTACTTGGGAAATTATTTTTCTGCTATTTAAATATATTTGTATTGTACTTGATCTGTTGTTTTGAAGCAAGCTCACAAGACAAAAGTATTTTATTAGTGATCATTTTATGAAGAACAATAAACTAAAGTGTCTATGTTGAGTGTCACAACAACCAGCAAAATAATAGTGTATTTTTAAATGGAAGCCTTTCCAGATGGAAAACTGGAAATTTTGGGAGCAGGGAGATTATACAAGCAATAATTATGGGGATATAAGAACAGATAAAAACACATTTGTGTGATGCTTTCTTGATCCTTGGTGCTTTCTGAGCTTGGTTGTTTTCTTATAGACATTTTGTTACCCAAATTAGGTAACATCATCAAGGATAGACTGATCATGTTACCTAGTTTGGATCATGAAACGTCTGCAAGAAACAAGGAAACTCAGAACTTCAAGTATCCCTCATTTCTACCCTAAGCTACAAATATTCTGCTTTATTGATACATTTTTTTTCTGTCATGTATCTTCAGAAGCAAGCCTGCTGAACTCATTGTTTCTGACTTTCAAGTAATTGGTATAAGATTTTAAGCATATGAAGCATTTAAGATGCTAAACATTTAGTTTGCCAAGCTACAGTATATAGAAGAAAATGCAATAGGTTATTATTGGCTATTGTGATTTTTTAACATTTTCTTTTTTCACTGTGATTTTCCTTTGAAAAACAGGATAAATCAGAGTAACTGGTTTTACTCTTCTGACTAGGCTGATTTAGTAATCTATGTGCATATTCAAAAAAACCTGTGAATTGATATGATGGGGATTTTTCAAAGCATTTTGTAAGTTTAGCAGAGAGCTAAACATTTATTATCTTTGAGTGCAGCATCTTACTGCAATATAAATTCATCTTCATCAATACCAGGATCAAAGTTCAAGAGATATTTGCTCCAATCTTCATAATTTACATGGGTCCCATAAATTCTTTATGAGCAAGTGGGATTTAAATTTTGCATGGTCTTTTAGTGTGCTTCCTCTCCCCCCAAAATTCCACTTTCATAGGATTTCTCTTGTTGAATAGCGCAACAGGATGTTGTTTCCTGTTACTAAACAGGTAAAGTTCTGGAAACAAGACAAATATAGTCTATAATATTGTGTGGGAATTGCATTCTGTAAACAAGGATTGGAAACTGCAGTCAAAGAGTTTCTAAAATGAAACAAACTTTAATGAAGCTCCACAATTATCACACTACCTGAAATACAACTGCAATTGTTGTAATTCTTGATAAAGATAGTATTAAAATGTTTCTTATAAATATGAAGGGCTCAAATTTTTCTCTAGTGGGAATTCTTCTGTTATCTCAACTATTTAACCTTTCATTCTATTTGCGATTCACATGATTTTATCTTCAGAAAATTATGTAACCCCAGCTCCCATGGATGCCATGCTATTAAGTTAGTCTCCTGCCAAACCTTTGCAATTTATTTTTGATTGTCACAGTGTTAACCCATTCATCATTGCTATCAATTTTTTAAACAAATTCCTTTTTATTTCCTCTCTCACTTTTCTTCAAACTCCCTGATTTCTTCATCCAGATATCATATTGGTTCATTCCATCTGGTTATATTCTAGAATTCCACAAACAAACAAATCCAATCCTCTTCTACTCTTTATGTTATGGATTTGACTTTTATGTATCTATTACTTTCCATTGATCTTGATGATTGTAGTGACACCATCACTTAACTCCAGTACCAGTTTGGTCATTCAGTAATAGCTCTCATCAAATTTTCTTGGGACAACCTCAAAGTCAATTTAATTCTGTAACTATCTTTATGACATCTCTGAATCTATTTATCTAAAATACAAAGATTAAATATCTTTGAAACTAAATCTGAAAATGCAAAGCATGTCTCCTAGAATCACTTTTCCAAATTATTTTATTTTATTTATTTATTTCTTCTTTCCTTCCTTCCTTCCTTTCATCATATATCTCTTTAAAACTTAATGAATACTGTGAATATTGTGCTCCTTATATACATTCTTGAGAAGGATTCTCATTTTATGTTGCATTCACAAAGAACAAAGTAGGATGCTAGATTTAGCTAAACACTTTTCACCAATACAAATACCTGATACAAATTGCAAAAAAAGTTGTCATCTTTTTTAAAAGCTTTTTACATCACTAAAGAACCCCTAACTAGAATTTCTTACCTTAATAGCTCAAAAATATGTTTTTAAAATTTGCTGTTCAGTGCATTATCATCTCTTTAACTGTTTAATTGTCTCTGTTAGAGACAGTGCTTAAAAATGTGCATATAATTTGAGAAGATGGGAGAAAGGATATCATCATATTATTATGAAAATGAAACAACTACTAGGTATGGAATTTTTCTGAAGCCTTGATGTGTTCAGTGTACCATTACTAAATGACTGAAATCTAAATAACATTTGGCATTATAATAGAAGTAAGTAAGTGACTAAGTTAACCTAAGAAGCAGTGGTACGGCACTATAATAAGAAGTATGTTTCTTCAAGCAGACAATTCTCTGATTGTCTTGTTTTAAATCATCTGGGAGATACTCAAAAGAGGCTTTACCAAAAAGAAAAAAATGTGGTAGACATAAAATGAAAAAACCTAAAACCATGCTGAGATGGGGTTTCAATTGGGTGAAGACCGAGGCATGCAAATAACTTTACTTACAGAAAGTATTATTGGTCTGAGGCATGTAATTTCTAGTCTGTACTTGAAATATCAGCCTCCATATCATCAAGTAATTTTTTATCGAATAAACGGGTTTTCTTTTAATCTAAAAACTGAACAGCACAAAAGATTGCCTATTTAGTGCACAATATTTGAACATTCCAACGTAGAATCTCTCCAGCAGATTCCCCGGACAATTTAAGCTTGGAACCTCTGGACCATTCGGACTGAATGGTTAATTTACTTTCCGCATATCTGCTTGTGTCTTTTCATTACTTTTAATGGTTCTGCCGGCTTGGGATTATGATTGCTGTACTCTCCTTCTAATAAATTCATTGTAACTGTTGTTAAGTGCTCAGTAAATGAAAAACCAGCCATTTTCAAAAGCACTGAATTAAAAAAAAATAGAAAACCTATGTCATATTACTTAGGAATAGGCACAGCCGTTGAAATTTTTTTAATGCAGCATTTTTATTTGTATATAATTAAATTACATACACACACACACACACACACACGCATGCACATATGTATGTATGTAGATAAAATATATCTACAGTTTGTAGAACTGTAGACGAGTATGCTTTTTATCAGGAATGTTATATTTCATCTGTGTCTGAACTGAATTAAGACAAGAGATTATTGGAATTTATCAAAAGGGTCAGAACTTCTAAAACTAGAAATTAACATTACCTACCTTGCAAAATATATCAGAGAATACATAATTGAAGACTAATTTTACTATCATATTAATGTCATGGAAGCATTCCATATAGTCTACAGCACTTTTCTGAAGCTCTTTGAGGAAAAGCCAGGAAATATGCATAGCCAATGTAGATCTCATAGGGAAGAACTAAGGCCCAAGTTAATCCAAAATGTCAAAAACATAATTAGCTGTTTGGTGAGAAAATACTAATGTTGATGTGACTGACTGATTGTATTTCTATTCATGCAAGAATATAAAGATACAGCACAGTTAAACAAATAATAAGCATATCTAATGCCTATAGAGGAGCGTGTGTCATTGCAGAAGATCTCAAACTCATATCATCATGAGGGTTATATGAGGACTAGTTCGTTAGATCAATGGCTGGATCCCAACATTTTTTTCCATAACAGATGCAGATGTCTCTAGTGAGTCAAACATAGAAAAAATGAAGAGTACCACATTATAGCAATAGCAGTAGCACTTAGACTTATATACTGCTTCACAGTGCTTTATAAGCAGTTAGCAGAGTCAGCCTATTGTCCCCAACAATCTGGGTCCTCATTTTACCCACCTCCGAAGGATGGAAGGCTGAGTCAACCTTGATCC